TGGAGCAGCAGCCGCGGGAGTGCAAACGGCGGGAGGCGCAGCGTGTGCGCGCAGAGGCTGTGCAGCGAACGGAAGTCGGAGAATCGCTTCCAAACCGTCCACTGCTCCTCGCCGACTGCCACGCTCACCTCGTACGCCACGACGCCGCCCTCGCGCCGCCACTTGCCGACCGTGACGCGGAGCGGCGCGGAGGAGCTCGAGGGTCCCCGTGGCGGCTCCGGCGTGGGACTCCTGGGCAGACAGGCAGGGAGGGAGCCGAGCGAGCTCGCCATTCGCTGGCGCTGGACGAGCAGCAGGAAGGACTAGCCCCTTCCCAGCTGGTGCTTCACTCATGCTTCGGTGTGAACAGGTTCTTGGGTGCAAAGAGCGCGGCCACAAGTCACAGGGCCCGCTCGTCCATGCGACCGGCAAAGGCTGGGTCAAAGAGCACAAGGGCGGCATCGCGCCGCCGACCAAGAGAATCATCCACAACTTCGCCAAAGAGGTCGGCAGCCCGAGCGCCGTCGACCGCACCGACTACGGCACAGCCTCCGGCAGCGCCCGGGGCTTTGTCCAGCACCACTCGCAACAGCTCTCGCGCGCCGCCGTCTGTGGCGACGCGCAAAACATCAACAACGCTGCTCGCAACATGCGTGTCGCGCACTCATTCATGACCGGTCTCAATGCCCCACCCCCCTGCGCGCGGGCCTTCTAGGCCCGCGGGTAGTCTCCCCCCATTCCCAGGGCCTCCAGGGCTCGCACCTCAACCTCTCACAGACCAGCGCACAGCGCCATAGGACGTATTTTCTTCTCAATAACAAGGCTGTGAATCACGTGTGAACGGAGTTGCTCTTTGAGACCAAGTGCGCTAAATAGAGCATGAAAATCTTTCAGACTTTCTGTCCTCCAGACTCGAAGAACTCGACCGGTGGCTGGCCGCCAAAGTGGCTGGACGGCGCCGTACACTGGTGGGCCGCGGAGACACTGAGGGAGCTGTCCTCGGCGCCGTTCGGCTCCCGCGGCCTGGGTGGTGGCAGTGGCACTCCTTGAGCTCCCTGATTTTTTCTGGTATTTGTTGAGCACTCTCTGGTCACCTTCGCCGGGCGAGCCTGGCTCTCGCTGCGCAGCGGCGCGACCTTCGGTGAGGCTGCCGATCGTCGAACTGGGCTT